GGATTAATTATGACTGACAGCAGGTGAGAGTCTAATTGAACTACAGGACTAATAAAAACAAACAAAAGAAGCAGCACAGCAGCTGGACATTCAAACACACGAACAGCAGCAGCTTCAGGTGTTTTACAGTTAAACGCACTTCAGCTCGCGAGCGGATCCGGTTCAGCGGGTTCAGCCGGTCCCTCCGCGAGGACGAGTCCGCCTCAAACAGTGCATCTCAGCGCGCTTCAGCATTAAAACCAAGAAAGACCAAACCTCGGGTTATCATTCCAGCGCGCGGCACTCACCTGTCAGACGCACGCACAGGTAAACACCGAGCGGATGAATGAAGCGTCCCGGGAGCAGGATGTGTTCGACACGTCACACGGGAGTTACCGAGCGCCCGTGACGTGTGCGTCCTCTCGTGACCCCGGCGTAGAGATGGAACGAATGAACGAACTAAAGCAGAGCGAATGTCGGTGAAACGGAAGAAATGAAACAGCCGCGCGACCCTGCTTCGCGCTGCACGGAAGAGAAGCGCTTTACCTGAGCCGGTGTCACCTGAGTCCCCCGCCGTGTCCCACCTGACCGCACTTCCTCGATGTGACGCGTCCGCTCCCCGGCAGCGCCTGCTCTCTATCCGGTGTCTTCCGCCGGTTCTGACCCGCTCCTGACGGACTCCGGCGGCTCCTCCTTAAACCCGCAACCAGGAAGCGGCTTGTCCTCCTTCCAGCGGCCGCGGGTGATTGGCTCTGCGGGCGGCGGAGGGCCGCTGGGGGGGGCTCTGCACGAGTGCCGCGCGGACCGACCGCGGCTGCTGATCACATTTAACGCGCTCCTTCCGTTTTCATGTTGAACGCGCGTTTCCACTTCTGCTTCTGCAAATGAGTCAAGTGACAAACTCTGAATTTGCATGTCAAATAAAGCGAGAACAACGCGGATGTAAATCAAACAAGCTTTGTATTCACACTAAACTCAGGAGCGACTCTGACGTGCAATATCATGCACATTATTAATACTGAAAGTGCTGTTGTGTGTGTGTGTGTGTGTGTGTGTGTGCACATGCTGCTATCATAAATGGTCATTTAATGTAAGTTTGGCTCGTGCAGGTAAAGCGTCTGATGATACAAGACCGTGTTTCTGAGACCAGAGCTGATGCATGAGAAATGAAGGAGTGTGTCAGGATGAGGTTAGTGTTTAACAGCTCACTCACTCATATTCACTGACTTCCGCTTTGATGTGGTTCAGTGTGTGTGTGTGTGTGTGTGTGAAGCACTGAAAGGGATTACAGCAGCAACATCCACATCAGCCAGAACTGAGGCACGCGTGGTCACACACCTTCACATCTCCACACAGGTGTGTTAGAGTCTCTCTCCTTTACCTTTTGTCCATTTAATTTCAGCATCTGCAGCAAATTCATGTTTGAGTCTGAATAAAACCGAGCTGTTTTTTCCTCCGTGTTCTCACGATATGGCCCTGACAGCCTGATGCATCAAATGCAGGTGTGTTAGTCTCTCTGAGCTGGTCCTGGGTCAGCACTTTCTCCGTGTCTCTCATCCTGAACATCTCCAGCAGGTGTGTGCAAACATGCAGCTCTAGAACTGCTAAACTCTACATGTTCATATGTGGGCTAATCTCGCTGAACTGGCAGAAAATGAGCTGTGAGCGCCACCTAGTGGATATTATTAGACACTGACGGTCACAAGCTCTTGTCAGCTGATCCATTTGAGCTGAAATATAGCAGATTTTAATATTTCAGTAATTTATCAACACATTCGCATGCTCACGGTTTTCTGATGTCGGTTAATCTTCCCACGACGCACAGTACAGCAAACAAATGCATAATTTCAGCCTTTTTGACAATCTTAATTATTCATTTTTATCATTTATTTCTAGTCATTATGATTATTAGCTTTTCAACAACTCAGGAACCCCAGTGATTGAAATATTTACATTCACACATCTATCTATCTATCTCAAACCCTTTCTGTAGTTTGGTTAGAAAGATCCAGAAACTGGATCAAGGCCTTATCTAGCAGCACCAAGAGAAAATAGGTAGAAATTATGTAAATACATATTGTTATGCAGTAAATAATGCACAAATCTGTTCATAAAGCTTCTGTTTCAGATGTATACCACATTATTATTATTATGTAAATGTTCTTCCTGTTGTCAGTGTTGTATATGCATGCATGCATGTTTGTACCAAGAGCTCATAAAACACAACACATTCCTTGTGAATAAAGCTCATTCTGATTCTGAAATTCTTCATGCATACAGTTTAGCTAAAGCTATTTTCTCCAAATGCATTTCAAAACCTGTAATCTAAAACAACAGGGAACACTATACGGAATCCCACAATGCAAAGTGTATGATCTTCAGTTTCCTGTGTGAAGAGAAAGATCAGTCTTGACTGTTAAAGTGACAGTTCATTCTGTCCCTCATGTGACTCCAAACCGCCACGACTTTCTTTCTTCTGTGGAACACAAAAATCTGACGCATGCATCAAAGTAAATGTTGCATTAATAGCAGAACCACAGTAAGCTGCTCTGCTAGAGATACGAGCTTCACTGTTCCCGGATTCTCTCACACAAACTATAAGTGCTCTGCTTCGTACTATGAATAAACGGGGCTGTTGCTACGTTCCTCACTGATCATCAACACTGTTATAAGAGAACAGAGCTTCATTACGCTGTCAGGAGCAAACGAGCCACCGGCCCCTGATGAGGTGCAGCACCACACACACATGAACATGATCCGAACACACGTGTGTGAACATGACTGACCACACACACCTACACACGCAAACACTTACACACACACTCATGCATGCACACACACTCACCTACAGAAACCCACACACACAGAATATCACACACACATGAACATGACCCAAACACACGTGTGAGAACATGACTGACCACACACACACACTCATGCACTCATTCATGCACACACACTCACCTACAGAAACACACACTCATGCACACACACACACACACACACATGCATGCACACACACACTCACCTACAGAAACACACACACAGAATATCACACACACATGAACATGACCCAAACACACGTGTGAGAACATGACTGACCACACACACACACACACACGAACATGACTGACCACACAAAAAAAGAGACAAGAGGGGGTATATTTTCGACCACACACTCATGCACTCATTCATGCACACACACACTCATGCACGCGCACACACACACACATAGAGAAACCAGCAACTGAACCTGTATGTTACAAATGGTACATTCAGAATTATGTATTGTTAGTGTGTGTGTGTTAACAAACAGATACAGAAAACTGATTCTAAATTCACTTTATTCTGATTTGGCAAAAATCATTTGTCACATGTTCATCATTACTTCTCTTAAGGCCAGTTCACACCGCACTGACAGACGCAGACCAAGGTCGACAGATGACTGAGTACAGTACGTCACTTCTCAGACATTCTAAGACATGTTCAAGCAGTTAAAGCAAGCGCAGACCACTGACAGAGTAACACACTGATCCAGCCAAACCTGACTAAAGTGTCTGTTGCGTGTTGTCAGTGTCTGTCAGAGCAGTGTGAATTGGCCTTTATATGTGACCCTGGAGCACAAAACCAGTCATAAGGGTCAATTTTTCATCTGAAAGCTGAATAAATAATCTTTCAATTGATGTATGGTTTGTTAGGATAGAACAATATTTGGCCGAGATACAACTATTTGAAAATCTGGAATCTGAGGGTGCAAAAAAATCTAAATATTGAGAAAATCATCTTTAAAGTTGTTCAAATGAAGTTCTTAGCAATGCATATTACTAATCAAACATTAAGTTTTGATATATTTACGGTAGGACATTTAATAAATATCTTCATGGAACATGATCTTAATATCCTAATGATTTTTGGCATAAAAGAGAAATGTATAATTTTGACCCATACAATGTATTGTTGGCTATTGCTACAAATATCCCCCAGCGACTTAACACTGCTTTTGTGCTCCAGAGCCACATATGTCATTGTATGTATCATTATAGACTATTATTTCCTTTTTCTCAAAAGCTAAAGCTGTGAGAACAAATAAAAATAAACATTTGGTCCTTAAATGTGCAATCTAGGCATCATGGTATTGGAGAGGAAATTAGACAACCTCACTATCAGCACAAAACACTAAGAAACAGCACTGGGTACAACATGACAGATTCATACTGGGAAAGGTGTGTGTGTGTGTGTGTGAGAGTGTGAGTGTGTGTCACTGAAGGGAAGCGGCTACAGTACAAGAGCAAGAGCAAGAGAAAGATGAAAGCTTCTCTGGTCCAGATGTAAGACCATAAAGCATCGGATGTTTATCGTGACACTAAAGGACAATGAGAGGCAGACACACTCTCGGAGGAACTCAAGAGAAAGATGAAAGCTTCTCTGGTCCAGATGTAAGACCATAAAGCATCGGATGTTTATCATGACACTAAAGGACAATGAGAGGCAGACACACTCTCGGAGGAACTGAAGCGCTGCTGTGCGCTCGCTGTTTAGTGCAACACACAACACTAGTTCAGTTACAGCAGAGTGAGAATATGAACATTAAAGTCATATTGTCCAAAACTAACATCAAACACCTGAGACAACAAACTACTAATGGATTGCTTCTATTTTTTAAGAAAAGAATATATATATTCTTTACAGTTATTTAAAAAGTATTGTCACATCTGTGATCCTAATTATTAGTTATATAATGGGCAAATGTTACACTTTGGTGATTAAAAAAGAGACAAGAGGGGGTATATTTTCAGATATTAAACGTCAGTCAGTTTATGCAGACTCAGGTGGTGAGGTTTCTGAGCATGCTGACACGGGCCATCAGTAAAATAACATTAAACGCTTTAACCAAAAGCCTCACACATATGGTCAACACAAACATTTTGTGAGAGAATGCAAAAGCTTTGAAATGTAATCTCATTTTGTTCCATCACAGTGTCCCTTTAGGGAATCCGCTTATATATTCTTGCATCAATGAAAGCACCAAATGGAAACTAGCCATAGCAACAATAGTTCTCCTTTCCTATGAGAATATAAAGCCAAAATCAATTCACACAAGAAGTCCTGTAGCATTGCTTCATCGTTTGATTCCCTAAATATGTCCTTTGGTCATTTTTCACTCGCGTCTCAAGGCGGTGAGATTTAAAATTTTGATTTGAATTCTTTTGATTTGCATACTGATCAGGTAATCTCTGGCTAACGGTTTGACAAAGAGAACGACAAAACACAAGTACACAAAACTGGTTAAAATGGCAGTTTCTGTTTTTTCATGTAGAAATACATTTTCTGCTTTAACACACTATGTACAATGCACCATTTATAGTTTACAGGCAGTGTACACTAAATCCACACAGATTCGTTCTGTCGAAACAACTTTCCAGACTCAAAATGTATTATTCCAGTATGGTGCCCAAGGGATTCCAGGACACTTTATATTAGACTCATGAACTAAAGTGCAAAACGAGTTGTGATAGTTCTAGTCCTGTGACAGAAGTTCAGTCACTAATATTGAATAACAGAAGTGATGGTAATTCCCTAGCTGGGGCTCGGCTTAGAGAGGTCATTTTATAGTCTCCAGACTGAGGGTGATCTGCTCTGAAAATGCTGCTTGTGTTCTGGAGGTGATGTTACATGGCTAGAACAGTTTCAATCTTATAAAACATTCTCTGATGTTCTGAATTTTTTTTTATCTTTACAAGGCTGTGCAAATGCATCTTAAGGTGGTGGCAGTTTTGCAGTTACATACCCTTTAAGACATTTTTGGCAAGAATGTGCGTCTATTCTGTGAAAGATTAAAAGCATTAATTTATCAGATCCCTGTTGAAAAGACCAGTGTTTCTATTCTGCAAATATCACATTAGGGGCTCTGTCGAAAGATCATGCTCATTCACTAGCACAGTGGTTCCTAACTCTGTTTCTGGAGGCCCCCAAACAAAGCACATTTTCAATGTCTACTTTGTCCGATACACCCATTTCAGGTCTTGGAGTCTCTACTAAAGAGCTGATGACCTGAATCAGATGTGAAACGTGCAGAATATGCAGTGTTGGGGGCTTCACGAACAGGGTTGGAACCCATTGTATCTAGCATGTTTTGCTGGAGATCAACATGAATACATTGGTTCACCAGTCAGACCGCTGCAATTCAAGCTGGTCTTTTCAGCAGGACTACAAAATATTCTACCTGACATTCCCAGATAACCTGGACAACACAGACACACTAGTTCTACTTTTGAGCCAAACATGTTCTGCTCTTCAGTTTTTACCGTGATTAGTTGATTAGTCAGGGATGTTAAACCTTCCTGTGGTCATAACTACAGACCATCACAGGGAGGGTCGAACGCAGACAGCATGCTCATGGAACCTGCAGAGCCTGAACTGATACAGCTGACTTGTGATATCTCATCTCCTAAACTCACCTCGGACAAAACACGAGCCTCTGTCCAGCGCACACCTCCCTCCTCACATACTAGCAGGATATTTTTGTGTCTTTGTCTCTGAATCTCTCTGCGTCTGAGGCAAGTCCTGCTCTTTCTTTGCCTCTTTTGTTGAAGTGGAGATGGACTGGAGGACTGTAGATGAGGAGGCAGTGGAAGCAGGAATGGGAGATGGACTTAAGGTTGGAGTGGGCAGAACGTTTAAGGTCTGAGTCTGGCTAGCAGCGGGCTTCTGTGGCTGTGAAGCAGTGGGAGATGGAGTTGATGAAGGAGAAGGTGATGATGCAGCAGCGGTAGCTTTAGCAGGTGTGGCTTGTGTCTGCGATTGGTTCAGAACAGGGGTTGATGGTCCACTTTGGGCTGGGGTATTGATGGGAGAGCCTGGGGTCCAGGAAGGATTTGGAGTCTGTATGGTAGTTGAGGTTTGGGTTTGACTGGAGACTGCAGAACAAGTCGAAGGAGGACCAAGAACATGGACAGCGGCTGGCATCTGGACAGCAGCACTCTGACCCATGGTGGAACTCATAGGTTTACTTGGAATCTGAGTGGGAAGCGGACTCTGAATGGAGGTTGAGGTCGGAGCTTGTGCAGCTGCTGGGATCTGGGCAGGAGTTGGACACCGACCCTGGGATTGGGTTTGGATGCCCACTGGTGTTCTAGATTGGGTGGGGGTCTGAATAGGGGTTTGAACAGGGGTTGGGGTTCGGGTCGGGGTGGGGGTTTGAGATGGAGTAATGTTGGGCGTTGAGTTGGTGGTGCAGGATAATGGGGACGGTGGAGGAGGCGTCTGAGAGGGTTTGGTACGGGAATTCTGAGCCAAAGAGGTGCCGGAAGATGAAGTTGGAGAGGTGGAGGTGGACTGAGATGGAGAAGGAGGGTGTAGGCAAGGAGGAGGAGAGGTTGAAGGAGTAGGTATTGCAGTGCCTGCTTTGACTCGCTGGCTTTGAGGAACCCCTAGACCAGAAGATGTGGCCGCGAGGGATAAAGGAGGGTTGGTGGAAAAAAGAGGGGTTTGCTTCGGGGAGGACGAAAAGGGGGCATGGGGTGACGGAGCTGATCCTGGAGCTGACATGAGTGGAGGTGTGTGTGCCAACAGCAGGGGTGTGTTTGTCAGTGCCTGTGTGGCACCAGGCGAGTTTGAGCTCAAAACACCTGCACTTCTTCCTCTAGCAAGTCCTGATGACAAAAGGAAGGGTGCCGGAAGCAGGTTTCCTCCGGATGCTTTGCGATGGAGAGGTGGGTGAGGTTGCACGCTCGCCCAGCTGCGGTGGGGGAGAGTCGGCTGGGAGGCGGAGAGCAGTCTGGCCTCCTGGGTAAGCCGACCAATCATGGGGAGGCCCTGGGTGCTGCCTCCTCCAACATGACGCAGCAAAGCCTCTTTGGCCCCCTGCGGAGCGGAGCCAACATTGCGCCCTTCAACGGAGAGTGGGGCAACTGCTGAGGTGGGAGGCGGGACTTTATGGACAGGTGATGTTGTGGGTTCTGTGTGGAGGCGGAGACTGTAATGAAGTGTTCTTCCAACCTGCAGGGGAGCGGGCACTGACAACGCAGGCATAGGAGGAGTTTTTGCAACTCCACCCGCTGGAGGAGCCACGCCCACAGCAGTCGGTCCAATAGTGGAGGGCGAGGGTGTAGGAGTTACAGAGGACGGGACTCCTCGGGGGGGCATCCCGCCCATTACGCTGATGAGAGAGCTGAGCGACTGCCGAGGGTGTAGTAAGGGTGGACGGGGAGGAGAAAGCGGGCAGGATGAAGGTGATGGTGAGATGGGAAGAGCGGAGGGAAGGAAGATGGCAGCTCCAAGGGCGTGTTGCTGTTGTAGCTGCTGCTGCAACTGTTGCTGCTGCTGTTGCTGATGCATCAAGGCAATGGCCACGTTGGTGGTAGCAGCGGCTGTCTGGAGGGGAGCATGGATCAGCGGTGCCCAGATCACCGGATGAGGTCGGGGTGAGACTGTGCCTCCCGTGCTGCCTCGGGTGCCAGCGGTGATGTCCTGCATGGCAGGCATGCTATCGTGCTTCACGATCTGCTGGACCAGAACACTGTCGCAAGAACCCAGGCCGGTGCCTCCTGCTCCTCCTCCGCGGCTCCCTCCACCCCGTCCCAAACTGCTGCCCGCTACAGATCCTCCCTGTGAGGTCTTGCGCAACAAAATCGAGTTCTTCTTACCTGTGAAAAAACATAATTCAGAATAGGGTTAGGACAGAAAGGAAATAACTGAATATGGTTATTAATGTGGACATCAAATTAACACAGACACAAAATTAAAGGAATATTTCAATCAAAATTGAAACTTCTGTCTCATTTATTTGCTCACGTCTCATATGGACTCATTTTATGGTGTTATTTTCTCATTTTTGTCAGTTCCCATTCTTTTTCCTTGTACCGTAAAGATCTGGGATACGGATTTGGAATGACATGAAGGTGAGTAAATGATGACAGATTATTTTCAGATCGTCTCTCTTTAACCACAAAATGGAGCAGGTTTTACCGATGCGATCAAGTCTGTCCACCGCCACCGTCTCGAAGGCCCGTCTCATCATGGGATGCTCTTCCAGAACCTCATTGAAACTGTCCACACTGAGGGAGTAAAGTCTACAGTATGTATCTGCTCGGACACTAGCTGTCCTCCTGCCACGAGTCAACAGACAGATCTCTGAGGGATGGAGAAAGACCACAAGGAGGTTAGAAAGGAATCTATTGGACAATAAACCTGGTTCTGAAGAGCTCATAACAAATATCTGACATCAGCCACTTCACAATCAGCCCATAAACTCACCTCCAAAGTATGACCCATCGCTGAGCTTGGTCTCCTTGCTTCCACGAGTAAGTACACTGACCCGTCCGTGCTGGATGAAATACATCTTACGGCCAACGGTTCCCTCGCGAATGATGAAGTCATTGGGCTGGAACACCTCAAACTTCAGCTTCGTTAGCACTGCTGTTACGAAGTTTGGGTCGGCGTTAGCGAAGAGAGGCATGTTAGCCACCAAGCATCGGCAGTTGAAGCTAACAATTTCCTGTTAAGGTCACAGTGCAAAAGCAAACATTAATTAGCAGGTTAAAGTTTGTATAATGCAAAAACTCACTCTTACCCACTAGCAGTTGCTACCACAATAATGCTGATGATTTAAACTAAAATAGTCCTGCGATATCTGCTTGTGTCTGAAAACACAAAGAATATCAACCTAATGCATGAAAAGAGCTGAGAAGTAAACTTTCGGCATCCACGAGTTTAGTGAATGTGTAGATAACAAACCTCCTTTAAGGGCTCGCTCAGCTCTCCCAGAATGTTATCCTCGTCAAACATCTTGCCCTGGTATCGGTGTTCATAATACTCGTGGATTTTCTGCCTGACATCTGCTGGAAGCTTATGGAACGACATGTACTGCTCCACCTGCTTATACTGGACATCAGATGCTCTCTGTTAGTCAGAACGCCAGCACATCAGACTGATTGGGAATTATGGAATAGATTTAATAACGATTTATTCATGAAGTCACCAGAGATCAACATCGTCCAGGGCTTTACCTTCTCCTGGTACTGTCGGCGTGAGGAGTCCAGGGACTGGATGAGGGCCGTGGCGTGGCCGATGAACATGGCGTAGCAGGTCGCGCCCACGATCATGCTGAGCATCGTGAGCCAGACATCCGTCATTCCCTCTGGAGCCTGAGCGCCGTAACCGATGCACAGCATGTGACTCATGGCCTTAAACAGTGCATACGTGTATTGGATGCCCCACGTGTCGTTCTGAAACACAGATCACACGGCGGACAGTAAACGACTGCATCCACACCATCTGACTGATGCTTGAGCTTCATCAGGTCAGTTTAGGGTTAGGGGAAAAATGTTTATATAAAGATGATTGATACACCTTCATTTATTGACACTGGCAATGCTCAACTCTTTTCATACAAAAGAAAAAAAATCGCCAATTCCCATAAGACTCAAAGACAACAACAAATAAATAAATACAAATAATACATATATAATAAATAATTAATATTATTTAATTATTTTTATTTAATTACATTTTTTATTATTTAATAAATAAATAATAATTAATTAATTTCTATTTTAAATAAATGCTATTCTTTTTAACGTTATTCATCAAATAATCCTGAAAAAAGTATGACAGGTTCCCAAAAAAAATATTGCGCAGCACGACATTTCAACATTCAACATTGATAATAATCAGAAATGTTTCTCGAGCAGCAGATCAGCATATTATACTGATTTCTGAAGATCATGTGACACTGAAGACTGGAGGAATGATGCTGAAAATACAGCTGCACATCACAGAAATACATTACAGTTTAACACATATTCACATAGAAAACTGTTATTTTACATTAGAATAATATTATAAAATATTACCGTTTCTTACTGAGAAAAAGATACATTATAAAAACGTTTTAAAAAATCCTACCAAAGCCAAATTGTATTATACATTAGAAAAAGCAAGTTTATTTATATATCGCAAAGGTAATTAAAAAAGTGTTTAATTATTTAAAATGTTTTAAGAAGAAAAGAAAAGATAAACTGCAATCAGTTTAAAGAATCCACATCCAAAAGAAACCAAATTAAACCTGGAAGTAATGAGAGAGTTTAACGCCTTTAAAAAATGAAAAACAAAGAATAATTATGACACAAAAATAAAAGGAACTATATCATAATATTTAATATATCCAATTTATTATTTCACAGTAATGTGTGACTAATGTGGCATCAGATTAAATGAGTGTCATTGATCATGTGACTTAAATATTCTTTTATCATCTCAGATCCGTCTGGAGAACGTTATCATCCGGTTTAGTTTATGAAGCTCCGGTGCTGTTAAAGACACACCAAATACATTCTCATTTATTCAAAACAAATGAATAAATAAAAAAAAAAAACATTTTCTCACAGAGAGACACAAACACACTCTTATAAACGGCTCACGGGCGTCTGTGTGTTGTGACAGCTGGAGAATCACTTCAATCCAAACTGTTCGTTCTGGAATTACTCTGAGCGCTCGATGACGGGCCAGTGGTCGTCACAGGGCTGCAGACGTCTGCACAGCAACAACACGCACACCACCTGCGCCTGCTCGCATCTCACCAACTTCGCTGTGCTCATGAGCCACCAGCAGCCCGCCGTGAGTCTCAAACACTCACACAGGCGCTTAACCCTTCACACGCCGCATGTGTCAGTCATTCACGCTCTGTTGTTCTCTCGGTGCCAGTATCCCGGCGGCGTTCAGGGTCTGATCCTGTTCGTCATCACGTGGGTGGGGATGGTGATCTCTCTGGTGTGTCTGGCTCTGTGTATCTCCACCTTCTGCTGCCTGCGAGGCCTTCAGAGCGACCGCACCACCATCCACAAGAACCTGTGCCTCACGCTCTTCATCTCACAACTCCTCTTCCTCATCGGCATGGATAAGACACACTATACCGTGAGTTCACGAGGACCAGACCTTAACAGACCACATTAGACTAAACCAGACAAACATCAGACCAAACAAAACTATATCAGATTAAACCAAACCTCATCAGACCAAACAATCAACCTAAATCAGACCACACCAGACTAAACCAGACACACATCGGTCCTAACATTTTAAATTGCAATAATATTTCACAATATTACAGTTTTTTCTGTATTTTTGATCAAAGAAATGCAGCCGTGATGAGCAGAAGAGACTTCAAACTTTTGAACACTTGTGTACAATTAATACTAAAGTCACACCAATTTCAATTAGTGTTGTTATAGTTTCATTGTGATACTGTTAAAGCTTTTGTTAATATTTTGAATGAGATATTATTTTATATTTCTGCTTTCATGTTAATTTCAAGTTTTAGTAAATTTTTGTTATCTTTAAATATTTCTATATAGCTTTTATTATTTTTTGTTTCAGTTTTAGTTATTTTAGTACATGAAGTACTGAAATGTAGCCTTGGAAACTATCTGAAATCAAATGTTTAATTTTTTAATATTTTGTTTTATTTCAGTTTATTTTATTTCAATAACAAAATGTTTTAATTTTTCATTAAAAACTTTCATAAATTTGTTAACATTTTATGGTCTTTAGTTAACTATAAAAACCCTGAATCCAAGCAAAAAATTTTTTAATATTTTAAAAGAAATGTAGAATTTAGAATTAAATGAAAACTATATATATATATATATATATATATATATA